GGGCGATATTTCAAGAAGATTTTGAGCTTATGCAATGTAATTTTATTCCAAAACTCCCTAGGACGTCTCTCGCCCCTCTCAAAGTGCCCCGCCCCGTTTGTTTTATTAGTATTTATAGTATTACATGTCGCTATTTTTAGCACAGGGGCATGAGGAGAGTTATTGCGTATAAAACATGTTCTCGGCGGACTTTATGTTCTTATTACATCTATTAGAACTGTTTAATAAAGGCTAAATAAATCAAACACCATGCATTGTGTAAAATTTTGAGAATACCGAACATGAAAACATGAATATATACATGTATGTGACTTCAGTTCTGCATATACTTCACTCCGGTTAAAGCGCCTCCTTGGTCAAGTGGTTATGTCTCTCGCTTTAAGTGTGAGAGGTCCCGGGATCGAATCTCGGTCGAACCTTTCTTTTTTTTTTTTTAAATACTTTTTTTTTTACTAAATGATAGTATTCAGCATGTGAAATGAAAAATTTATGAGGTTATAAAATCATCATCATGATTACAGTGTGATAAATATTCCATATAAAAAAATCTTCTATACACATAATAAAGAATAAGCAATCAAATCTTTATATGCATATTGACATACATGTATTTTACTTCCTTCAGTATACATGTATACATTTAATAATTCTACAAATTCAGTCAGGGGGAGCCGACTTTTTCCCTAAGCGGGGGACACGAATTCTCTGAATTAGCTTGTTAGCTTTAAATTAGAACACATTTCTGGTAATAAAGATATTTTGACAAGTTATGAAAAGTAACAATCTACTACTTATGTTGTTTTTAAGAAGAAATAAACAGAAATGTGTTTCATTGTTTAGTTTTCTTTTCAGTTAATCTTCAATATTGATAGATTTGCCTGTTTTAGAGGAAATTTCAGCCATTTTTTGCCCCAAACAGTTTATCAGTTGCCATGGATACCAATGGCAGAATTTAAAAAAAAATATATTTTTTTTGAGCATCTTAGCATACTCTACCAACATGCAAAGTTTGAAAAAATTCTTTTAAAAAACCCATGTATTCCCTCTGCATGATTTTTACATGGAACCCTACTTAAGTAAAAAGGAATTTCCATATTTTTTAATGTATACAAAAAATGATACACCGGACATTGCCGGTAAATTTTTACCTCCTTTTTTCAAAATATTTCTGAATTTGATTCAGTTTATAATTGAACACGCTGGGAAATATATGGTACATGTACGTGTACATAAGATTTCACTGAATCCCAAGTGCTTTAAAGATTCTTTAGAATTCCCGCCTCTGCGAATTCCAAAAACTTTATTCCGACTTTTTTCTCGCAAATTTTCATATGTTATGCCCTGTTCACACGGAGAGTTTAATTCGAATTAAACGTACGTTTACTGCGAATTAGCTTCGCTTAGCGTTCACACGGAGAATTTAATGCGAATTAGTTTACTTCGCATTAGTTTACTGCGCATTAAATTACTTCGCATTAGCTCCGTGTGAACGCTAAGCGAAGCTAATTCGAATTAAATTTTGGGGCATGCGTAATGGCAAAATTAAGTCAAATGCGTCATGTCGGTGATCAGCTTTAAGTACTTGTGCTATTTTTGAGTGAAAAACTAAGAAAAAATTGTTAAGAGCCATTCTCTGTAATGATTTGAAATTTTATATAGGAGCTGTGGCACGCATAGTCTCAGAATTTCTCCAAACTCTCTATGATAAAAGTCATTGATACCCTAAACTGAGATCAGGCAAAAATTGGTTGCTATGTTTTATAGTTACCATGGCAACATGTCTTAAAAGTCGAAAAATGGCATTTTTTAACATGTTTAGAGCCCCATAGTTAACATTTGCGGCAAAGCAAACAATTGGCAATGACTGTTTCCAAAAGTTGAAGGTCAGATGTCTCAGATGCATGATAAACATGTTTGGTAAATCAACTATTACATACGTTACTATGGTAACAAAATATTCAAAAGTAAAAAAAAAAATTCATTGAATTTTATAAAGTCATACACGTAAAAATAAAAAGCAATTATAGGATGAAACGCGACCAAATAATAGAAAAAAGAGCCTTGAAACATATACCAAGAACAAAATATGATATTTTACTTTGGTTGGCAATGGTTACCAAGGTTTTTATACCACAGAGAGCCTTCAAAGTAACACTCTGTATGTTTAAATCTGATCCTATCTTTTAAAAAAAAGCACAGTTCCTCATAACTAATGATCAATTTTATAAGATGTTGGTGTGCTCCAAGTTTTCCCATTTGAAAAAATTCAGATTAGATTCTTTAAATAGAGCGTTGCTATGGAAATAAGCAGAAAATATATGCTTAAAAACCTGAAAAATATTTTCTTTCCTTGGATACGTACCCTTAAATGTAGATTCCCAAAACTTTTATGATTGATATTTATTAACAGATAACTTGACTTGTAATTTTGACTATCATCCAATCTCTAAGTGGATGCAAGAAGTTGGCACACAGGGTTTAATATTGATACAAAGTTCAAAAAATCGAACATTTTCCCTTCTTGGTAACCATAGCAACAGTGTTGTTTTATTCATCAAATTTTATCAATATATGATATTCAACTTCATTTCTAACAGATAAGTACTATTCAAGCTGAGTCCATTAATTTGTTTCTTGATTAAATGGCAATTTAATTCTTAATGCAGTGAAAAATAATACACTTTTAAGCACTGGTACGTTGTTTCCATGGTAACACTGCAAAGTAGCAATTATACCCAATTTTTCTTATGGTTTTGGTGTTGCAAGGTCCTAAGGGTGCATTATTTGCCAGTCTTGAATTTTCTTGTTTTTCCCCAAGACAGTAGCATTAACCCATTCTTAGTTACTGGTTTTGCATGGTTACACTGTGTTACCATGGCAACCATAAAAGTTATTTATAGAATAATATTGCTTATACTTATATACTTAAGGTCAAACATTTTCATTGTTTTTCTTAAGTCGTTGATTGAGTTTGAGCATGTAACACCTACCATTAGTGAATTCGGAGTGTTTTTCAGCATATTTCAGCATTTTAAATGTATTCCAAATGTACCCTTGGTTACCCCTTACTTAGAGATATATTCTAAACAGTTTCTTTACAGTATAAGTAACATCAAGGTGTCATGTTTTTGTGAGAATGGTTTGTTTGCTTTTTCTAGTTTTTATTAAGCCACAGTCAAGATTTAAAGTGGCTGAAAATCTCGATTTTTCAAACTTTTCCGGCTGTTGCCATAGCAACCGAGACCCATAGCAACGAAATTCTGTTTGATATTTGTTTCCGGTGTCAAGTACTAAGCATGGGTGAAGTTTCATCAAAATCGGTGACCATGCGTGGCAACGAAGTTTAAGTGGTTACAGAGAATGGCTATTAATCACTAAAATATGTCTCCAGAAACTGTGACATTATGTCAAATGCATCTGCTTCTGCATAAGGTGACATGATTTGCAAATGACGTCATAATTTAGCCTTACTTACGCCTGACTGTCGAAGTAAAATTTTAATTCGCATTAGTTTACTTCGCATTAGCTGTCGTGTGAACGCAATTTAATTCGCATTAGTTTGATTCACATTAGTTTACTTCGCATTAATTTACTGCGAATTAAACTTGTCGTGTGAACAGGGCATTAATATCGATATAACTATATTTTTTTCATATCGACAATACAATATTGATGTTATTCAATATCGTGCTTTGATCAGTATCTGAAAATTATATTATTCCAGTCGATAAAATCTACTAAACAAAAGAAGTTGCATTTAATCATGTAAAACATCTTAATGCAACTCAAGATATGTGTATAAAATAAAGAGTTATAACACATTTTTTATGTTGATAAGACGATAAAATATAAGGCTATATGCAAAGTTATAACACAACAAGTGTAGATCCAATTACTGCACTGCACTGGATAGACAAGCATATTATATATTTAAAAACTCGTGTTAGTTCTAGAAAAAAGCATGTCCACGTTAACAACAAACTCTAGATCCGCGCATGAATTACGTCAAGTAAAAATAAACAAGATGTGTTTGTGAAACACTGGTACCCGTGCATGGCAGCTTAATAGACAATCCGTGTCACACTAATGTTCGAAACGCGCATGCTTATTTATCAAAATAAAACATTTCGTCCTGTATAGCGTTTATTTAAATATGGCGGGCAAAACAGCATATTCTCTCTCTTTCGGAGTGGGTGTGTAAAGAAACTCAAAAAGCAAAAACCGACACTTGTATCTTAAATCTACAGATTAAATAAACAGTTATGGGGACAGCAGTTACCCTGTCATAAGCATTATTAGTGATGGGATACTTAGAAGATTAATTATATGAAGAAACACAAGGACCTCTTTGCAATAGATGAACTTTGTAAACTATATTAGATATAATAAAACTTACAATAAAATAAGCTTTAAAAACTGTTGTCCATTCATTTTGTATGAAAGGTCTTTAACGAGCAAACAGTATGCGTTATGAAAGTGGTAACTTACAATGGAATCTTTCAAAAATGAAGAAATTCAAGATATATACATATACATTGCATAATTATTTTCATTAGAAAAGATAAAAGTGATCTGAATATCCCTTATAATGCTATAAATGTTAAATAAATACGAAATTCAATTGCAATGTATCAGATTTCATAACTCATATTAAGGACCTCCCTTCATTTCCATCTAAAAAGAAAATCGATATTTCAGTGATAAATGAATACCAAATAAGTCATAAGTAGCCAATGACTTTTTCGTAATAGATAAACGCTCTGGTATTTACACTTTGGCGCTTATGCATCACTTTGCAATTTCTACGTCGAACGTGGTGTCCTAAGGACAGAGCAGAGTATGAGTAAGCTTTGTGCTGTCTGTTTGATCGTCGTCACCTTTACGGTCGCTCATGGTACCTTAAATACAAGGAAAATCACTGCAAAAACCGAATTTGATAATAAAAAATACAATAATGACCATTTACGACAATACGGCTCTCAATCGATGATCGAATGTGCCCTGAATTGTCAAAGAGAGACTTCGTGTACTTTTTTTGGTTATAATCCGAGTTTGAATAAGTGTCGTGTTCACAAGAGAACCTTTACATCCGGAACATTGGAGGAGACAGGATGGGAGTACTTTTTTCTTAACCGTAAGCAACTGCTTTCTCTCACAAATTATGAAATAAAATTACTTATTAAACTTTCTCTCACTAATTATGAAATATAAGTATTTGTTAAACTTAAAGCGGTTTTGATTAATTGCATTTGAAGCAGGTTCAAAAGGGTCACATATCTATTATAAAATTTTATTTTACGGAGTAACTCAAAATTCCTAAATCCTATCTCTGTAACTGATTAACTCTGAGGCTTTCAATAAATATTCTTAATTAAACTCACATTTACAAAATCATAAATAAATTTATACTTAAGAAGCCGACGTCCAACAAAGAAAAGGTCACAAAAAATGCTATTTTAAATAATTCTCAAAATCTAAAATGTTTATATGCCATTTTTCTTGAGATGTTTGAAAATTATATATTAATACGTGTAACAGTTACAAAAACACATGTTTTATTTTGGCTGAACAGCCAGATTTTATAAAATTTCTATTAAAATTTTATTTTGAACATGTATAAGCTCATTTTAGGGATATGCTTTTATCATTATTCTTTGCAACATTTGGGCGGGGGAGTAAAATATCAAAAAAACGATCGATGCAGTTTTAACATCAATTGAAATAGGCATCAAGTCAATTTGCATTAAAAATACTTACGATTATGATTCATGCAGGGAATGAAAATTTCTTTGTCTGTGCGTTCGTATAAAATGACTTATAAACCTAAAGGGCAGTACAGAGGGGATTTTTTTCATTAATGATATATAATACTACATGTATGTATATTCAATGTCTCAAAGAAACCCTTAACAAAAAGTGCTTTTTGAACTTGGAGAAAAAATATATCATATTAAGGTATAGATATTGAGACTATTTAATTCATTTTCAGCAAAGGGTACCTGGCTTATTTCTACAGGTCAAATGTTCAGAGACAATGGACTACATGTATGCTTGAACAGAAACATTGTTGTTTACCAACATTGGGAAAATTGATGAAAATAAGGATTTCAATTACTTATTCTAGGTCTAAAATATCGTGAACATATTTTTGTCCATTACAGATTGTGAAATATTAAACTGTGAATACTCATTTTTTTTATCTCACTTATAAGGACAGATAATTCTAACAGCATAAAACTACCCTAAAATTAGAACTCTTTAGTGTGCAGTGTTTAGAGCTTCCTTAACGAGGCCGAGTCTAATTATTTCTATCCTAGGGATTTCGATAAATTTTTGTTGATTAATTTTTAATGTTATATTTATTGTTATAAGGTTTAAAAATCCAATGTGTACCACCACGATTTCTTTAGGGGTCATCTCAAAAGTTGTAAAAATTTACTATTGGACCATATCGGAATTTGTTGGAAAAGCGCAAAATTATAACATGTTTAGATATTTTTTTTTTGGGGGGGGGGCATTTCTGCCCTAGAGATTTCTTCTTCAGTCAAGTAGATGAAAATTGCTGTAAAAAGTCACCAAACTGTGAAATTTCAAAACTTTGTCCATCTAGATTGTTCTGTGTTTTAATTACAAAGTTTATTTATCTATCGTTATTATCGAGGCCCAATACCTCTGAATTTCCATATTGTGGTACATGTTTAAATACATATTGGTGCAAATGAATTGTCGACGCAGATATTTTTTGGTTAAAAATAGCAATATTTAGAATGTTGCTATGTTTCTTCTGATGTTCTGTCATTAGTTTTTAGTAAAAAAAAAAATCAATGGACGTCAACGAACATAAGCGAATCATATGCCATTCTTCAGTGCCAGGTATTGCTTACAAAATCGGAAAACAATGATGTCGTCAGAGCCATTTCAACATGGTTTTCCAATGTTTGTTGTAAAATCACATTTTTATACCAGGCGTTTCAGATAATGTTAATTTTATGAATATCAAATTCACAATATATGGAAAGTTGCACTGTCGCATTTATGAATGTGTGAAAATAAAAGGCTGCGCAAAAGACATGCGCACTCGATTAAGACTCGGCCTCGTTAAATACAGATTGACATTGTAACAAACACTTAATGAGTTGCATTATAGTAACAAAAATTATTTCGATAGAAAATGTCAATCGTGATTTTTTACTTCATTTTTAGGCCTCCCTGTAGATTGTAAAGACCTGCATGACAACGGTAACACTGATACAGGGGTGTACAAAATTTATCCCTTTGAGGACAATTCCCTCCCGATCCTAGTGTACTGTGATATGAACATAATGGAAGGAGGATGGACGGTATCTTGATTATTTAAAAGTTATTCTTTATCATATGGTATATCCTGTTGTTTATCATGTTGTATATCATATTGTATATCATCATGTTCTATATCATAATGTTCTATATCATCATGTTGTAAATCATGTTGTATACGATGTTGTATATTATTTTGTATATGATGTTGTATATCATATCCTATCATGTTTTTATCATACTGTATATCATGTTATAAATCATTGTATAGCATGTATGTCATGTTGTATATGAATCTGTATATCATGCTGTGTATTAGCTGGAATCATCGAATTTTAATGATTGGTGTAATACATGATATACATGTATCAGTAACGAACTAATCCCTTTTTCTGCATAATGATTACTGAATAATATGTATGTTAAACTTTTCAAGGCAATTCAGAAACGACAAGATGGATCCCTGAGCTTTGACCGAAATTGGACGGATTATAAGACCGGCTTTGGTTCACCGGAAAAGAACCTCTGAATTGGTAAGCACACTATCAGGTGTTTGATCCGCAATTAGACAAATGACAATTGTAACGAAATTATAAATTTAACAGAATATCATTGATCTGATATTACGAAAACGTAATACGTATTCAACATTCTTTTATGTATTGATTGTAAATGAAATCTTAAAAAGAATGGAATAGAGATTTTAAAAAAATCTCTTTCCGGTGTCCAATATGAAAAAATGATTTTATTTTGCAGTACCATTATAAATGTATTTCGAATATACTTAAATACAGGAAATGACGTAATTCATCGGTTAACAAAGGGAAATAACTCCTCTCTCTATGTCTCCATCACACTAGTGAATGGCACTACACTGTACAAAACATACGATCAATTCGCTGTTTCCGATGAAGCACAGAAGTATCAACTATTCCTGGCGGGACCCGGCACAGGAACCTTAGGTACGTGAATAAAAGTGGAATATGTACCTCTACAAAGGAGAGAGAGAAAGAGAGAGAGAGAAAAAAAAGAGAGAGACAGAGACACAAAGAAGTGGAATATGTACCCCTAAAAGGAAAGAGAGACAGAGAGAGACAGAGAAACAAACAGTGGAATATGTATCCCCAAAAAGGAGAGAGAGACAGAGACACAAATAAATGAGAGGGAGACAGAGAGAAAAAGAGACAGAGAGAGAGAGAGAGAGAGAGAAAAAAGAGACAGAGAGAGAGAGCGAGACAGAGAGAAAAAAGAGACAGAGAGAAAAAGAGAGAGAAAGAAAAGAGACACAGTGAGAAAGACTGAGAGATAAAAGAGACAAAGAGAGAAAAGAGACAGAGAGAGACAGAGAGAGAGAAAAGACACAGAGAGAGAGACAGATAGAAAAAGGGAGAAAAGAGAGAGAGAGAGAGAGAGAAAAGAGAAAAAGAGAGAGATAAAAGAGAGAGAGAGATTTATGTAAAGGTAAGAGTATCTATTGATCAGAATAAGTTGATGAGTGTTTAGTACATGTAGCAATGTATATGATATTTTACGATTCGTGATGGTCTCTCCCTACCTCGCAAACAACGAAAAACCCACAAAAATTAGTGATTTTAAAATAGTTTACTTTTATTTTTTAGGTGACAGTATGTTGGACTACTCATGGAATTCTCGCTCTATGCTGTCTGGGATGTACTTTACCACCTTTGACAGGGACAACGACAGACGGGACCGACGTAACTGTGCCACTTACGGTAACTTCAGAGGGGGGTGGTGGTTTAACGAATGTGCACGTGCCTTCCTTAACGGTCAATGGTCCCTAGGAAAGTGGGCGCCTTGGAATTTCCAAATAACCAATGGTACATATGTGACGAGAACAATGATGCTGATTAAACGCCACTAGGTAAACAAATCTAATATCCAGGATTTACTTTTAGGTTTTTTCTATATAGATTATAAGAAAATTTGGATAAACTATGGAAAGCACGTTGTTAGTATTAATTTTTTCTTTCAATTCTTTTTTCAACAGACAATTATTCAAAGGATTAGATCACGGATTGGCAGCAACCTATCAATATGACAAAAGACACTTTGTAGTCTTTGTTAATGTCGATCAAGGAATTCCATTCAATCTTTTATTGACACAATACTTTTATATCAAGTGAGGAAACATAAATAATAATGTATTTGTAGGACTCCTGTTGTTGAACTTTTTTTCCTTATGCATTAAATTGTTGATTATCATTTTCTATAACGAATGTACATAGTAAAACCAGTTCAGTGTCTGCGTGTTCTAATAAATAGGAAATTAGAAATAGTATTTTTTTGCAAAACCCTACACATGAAAATGCTTGAAATGATGATTAAATTAAAGTCCCTTATTTTGAAACACAAACAAAACTGAAGTGCCGAGTTAAGGACAAACTTTGCAGCTCTCTAATGGCAAGTTGTGGAGTCTCAATATGAGTAAAAAATTCTTGAAAAGGACTTTAAACAGCAAACAAACAAAGGAAACTGATTCATTTGATACCCGTGCAATCCCTTTTACTATGAATTTACACGTTCAAGTCGTTTACCCTTTTCTACTTATTTTCATGCTTTATGCACAGTACAATCCGACATAATGTTTATCACCCCTACTAATATTATTGTGATTTCAAGACACGTGGTTTAGGTTGATCTATTCAAAGCTGTTATAGGGTAGAACCGGTTTTATAAATAAAACTGGCAGTAAACATGATATTGCTATAGCCTGTTTCTTTTGAAAAATGGTCCTGTAATAAATGTTTCCAGACCTTTCTGAAAGACTTTCATGATTTTCAACAGAAAATGGGTGGCTAAAGGAGAAGGTGTTAACATAACAATATATGTTATACTTTTCGGCGAAAATTAGAGCTAACTAGTGACCGATTCGCTGGTAAAAAAAAAATGTGTATATTATCATCTACACTGACAAACCTTTGTTTGCCTTACATGGCTATTGTTATAAATGCGCACAGAGGATCTTACCACGAGCAACTGACCAATCGTTGAATGAATAGCTACGTTAACCCAAATTGTTTACATTTTACTTCGAACATGTAGTTCATGTCAATCTAGGATCATGTCAATAGACTGCAAAATAAAAACAATGTTCTTACGAACAAAATACAAAGATAAGAAACTATGAAAGATATTACGGGCGTTTTTAATTTTTTTTTAAAAGGAAAAAAATTTTTAATAAAATTTAGTTTTTGTCTAGTTCAGAACACCCGCGCTTCAAGGGTAAGGAAAATGAGCAGCACCTCTTATGCATTTTAAATGGACAAAACTTTGTTTACGTTTGTGATCACGTGTTCGGCCAAGGAATCCACCTGGCAATTATATTCACCGATAGTACAACAAAGGAATTAATACAGACGCAATTCGCTTTTGCAGTATGACATTCAGAAACCTAGATTTCCACCGTTTATTTAACAAATAATTTGTTGTTCAAGCGTAAAATTCCTGTAGTATTCGTAGTAACCCATAATGCAATACTCATTCAGTTGATTGGTCAGTTAAAATCATACTGGTGCCTCATATGCTAATCTGACGCCAAAAAATATAGTCCCGGTTCCCATGCAAAAATATTTGTCCAAAAAGAAATTTTAATTCATGACTGCAGATAATTGTATTATAGAGAATACTTATTTAAGTTTGAATGAATATAAGAGAGATCGATTGATTGAAGTACATTTCTACAGACATTATCAGGTGATTCTAGGGAGGTGAAAACTGAAACACAACATAATGGGGTTTATCCAATATGGATAAACCTGGTTATTTCGTGCAGCTTAATGTTTTACATGCAAAGATAGATAACTCTTAGTTTCTTAACATTGAACGTCATAAATCATCGGGCTCGGTGCTTAAAAAATTCTTGATATTTCTTGTATGCGCATGTCTTCTAGAATATTCCTTTTGAATCTGTAAATTGAACGAAGCAGACGCAAAGATTTTTTAAAAGAATTAATCGATCATCATCTGCTGATTTATTGTCAAATACAAGTAAATATGTTACGTGTATCAAGAGCTTCGAAGGCCAGAAGACCTTATTTCAGAAAAATCACCAGAAGTTCCGTATCCAGACCTAAAACATAGAGAAGGCCTAGCTGTAGAAACTCATGCAGTTCTGAACATGTTGTCGCCATTGTCGAGCAGGCACCTGACTCAGAGTCACTGTAACTTCCTTAGTTTACCTGTTACCTGCTAATCCAGCTCAACATAATCGAGGTACAGTTTAATTTGACCCAAATCCTTTTATTAATTATCATATTTTTAATTTTTACGAATTTCCATACAATGCAACATTCAAATGACGTCATATTTGTTATCAAGGGGAACCCTATGCATGTTTTTCACAAAATATGACACCTTTTTTCCACCATTGCTATTTGCCAAAACCAATATCCAGTGTTTTGTGCATTTCTGCACATTTGGGAATTTGCTCTAATGCACGTGTATCCGTCGTGGTTTAAACCAGAATTACAAACTTGCTTTAAAAAACCAAGACCCTGCATAAATAGTCTATAAACTATCCATCTAGGCTTCACATAGTAATAATTTGGGATTTCCATCGTTCGTTATGTTTTCTACGGTGATCTAGTAATGCCATTTTTATATAATTTTCAATGAAAATATCGGGGTTTGTTATTAAAAAAAAAAAAAATCGCCCCATTACATGTACATAAACATTTAGTTTCTTTAAATATACGCTAAATTATACATGTACATAGAATTAATTTTTTAATAATTTAATTAATCGAATAATTAAACGTTTAACAATATTTTGTTTTTCTAAACGACTCCCAAAATGATTAAATAAATAAATAAAAATAAGGTATTCTAGACTTATTGATTTGTAATTAATATTAATTTTATTTCTTGGGAATTTTAATTGTAGGACACGTCACACCATTTCCTAGTCTTGTATGGCAGGAATAATCTATAAAATTAATTCACTTCAATTTTATTTAGATCGTTCAATGGTTACGTGTGGTGTTTAGTAAACATTGGTCTTGCCCACATTGACCGGTTGACTGGCCTGAGGAGTAATGCAGGGATATCGCCTTCCTAGAAATTGTATCTGTTGTACTAAGGATTATGATCTGGGCTGAAAGTTTAAATTAAATTTAAAAAAAAAAACAAAAAAAAAAACAAAAAAAAAAAAAAACAACAACTTCATATTGACAATTTTTCTTTGGTTTATAGCAATTTAATCACAAATCATCCAAAAAAAAAGAATTATGGCATTAGTCGGGATGTTAGTTATGCAGATTTTTTAAGTTTAATGTACATTTAAAAGCAACATATACAAGGTATATTATAAAATAATGATAATAAATAAATTCCATATACTATTTCTCGGTTTATGTGGACCAGGTTTCATTGCAGTACCTTTTCCCTCCATGTACATGTACCTATTAAATTTTGCATCTAACTATTTAGGAGCCAGCTGTAGCCAGTCTCCTTCAAACTGGTGTATCTCAAAATACAGAAAGCAAAAGTCTTTTTTCAATTTCAGGCAACAGGTCTCATTTCAGCAGATCTGGTCCCCTCCTTTTGATCATATGATTAATTTTATAGCATATATATGTCAGAGTATTATGGCTTTTCTACCATCAAATGTTATTTATCAGGAATCAGTTTTGTCATCAACTTGCATGGTTGACAGAATCCAATCGATTCATTTATTATTAATAAGATATGGGTTGGTTACAAGAGATGTAACTAATGCGTCTCAGGATATATGAAAACTATTATATTACCTATGTTGGATAACATTGTCAGTGTTTTGCCAGATTTGTGTTCTGATTTTGAAGCTGCTTTATTTAAGTCTGCTTTTACATGATTCTGAAGCTGCTTTATTTAAGTTTGCTTTTACATGATTTTGAAGCGGCTTTATTTAAGTCTGCTTTTACATGAGCTTTCTTTGCATTACTAAAAGTGAGTAAAATAGTGGCTTTGGGTATCAAGCATATAATTGTCTCTTGTGATACCATTCAAGTTTTTTGTTACAACATTTTAGACTGGCCAAACTGGTTCGGGAACATGTTTGCATTTTGAAAAATATTACAATATGATTGTTTCAATCTTTGCAGAATTTTGCTGTATTATGTACAAATATTGATAGGGCGTCTCAATTTTCACATTTAAACTCAAAACCCTTATCCCAATATCAGTTTCCGTCCATCTTAAGGTATTCAATGTATAATGAAGGGATTTTCGACAATTTTAGATAAAGATAAAAGTGAAATGAACCAAAATTCGCTAGACTAATAACATGTACAGAGACGGTCATTTTGCACATTGAAAGTTTCTAAGAGTTACCTGGCCTTGATTAAAAAAAAAAAGAAAAAAATTATTTATCTAAATTTCTTCGGTATTATTCACTTTATATCATATTTTAATAAACAAACAAACGCATATTTTCATCAAGAGATAATACTCGGATTAGTTTGAAATTCAGATTACTTCTTAAAATATCTTTCAAACACCAATGCGCTGTCCATAGACTTTAATATTAAAATCAGGGTGCAATTAATTGGTTAGTAATCAACATGTAAATTCCTTGTTGGAACATTTTTGTTTGACAACATCTTCAAATTATAACTAAAATATTGCCGACTTGGCGTAGAACAATAAAAATTAATCAATCAAAATATTTTGCTACCATGATTTAAAATATTGGACTATTTATTTCTTAGGTACAAAATATGGTCGTTATACATTGTATAAACTTTAAACAAAGCTTTGCAGTTTTTGAATATTCAGTCAACTGAAGTTAAGACGTACTGATTTTTCACATTGGGGTTGCAACCCACTTGTATACAAAAGTGTTTACAGAGGAAAATATTACGCAGATCGGAAGGTGGCAGTTGGGCGCCAGGGCTGTGTATTGAGCAAAATTGAAAAAAAATTAGATACATACGATACAATAATTTTTTTTTCTAAAGATATATATATGCGATATATTGGATTCTATTACAAGTCAATCATAAAAGGCTTATAAATCATTTAACGTATGAATTTCATAAAAATTGTTTCATTGTCATTACAACTTACACCTCAAATTAAAACTTTTAATGACTATCAAATCAAAACTTTTAATGACTATCAACATTTTAAATTAAAATTGTCTATGCTTTAGTAATAATTCTAAAAACTGTGTTATTGCCTTA